CAATTTGTATGTTACACAAACATTATTTATTTTCCAATTTTTCTCTACATGTTCATATAATATGAGAATTGTATATGATTTTTAGAATTGTTTTGGCACAAAATGTAACTAAAAGTTTTCTTATAGAATTTTCCATCTTTTTTCGGCCTCAATCTTTATAGATAACGGCCCGCACTTTATGTTATGCAATTACATACAGCTTGTATAACCAAATTCTCGTCAAGACCCGTCGTTGACCGCTGTCAGTGCACGCTGTTCGAATGTTAATGGAGGCCAGAATAGGAAAACTTCAGGAGTGGGCTTAATGACTGCAAAGTTGAATTTAATGGATGGGAGTTGCCCCGAGTCGTAGCTTCCGGTTAAAAAAAGAGTAAGGGGGGGAAGTTATCGATCAGATTATTAACGGCTTTATCCCAAGGGTGCAAGCATAGCTACTGTCAATCAATTGTCGACCCTCCTTGTTTTTTAGAAACCTAATTTCCGCCGGGACTTGAGGTCAAGAAGTTATAACCGACAGATTCATTGGTTATTCCCTTGTAAGTGTTGCCTTATCTGAAGAACATTAACCTTTTCTTTTCAACCCTTTTCTTAGGTATTCTTATTTTATTTTATCAAGTCATACGTTTTGTACGGATTGATAGAAATTTTTGTATTTTCAAACGATATAATTAATTATAACTAATAGTTAATTAATTATTGTACATACTAGTAGATTTACAGTTAAATAAGACTAAAATGGGATAATGTTTTTCTTGTGAAATTGAAATATGTTACAGAGCATTTATTAGGACGTATAGTTGTTAATTGAGGCTTTTGATTTTATGACAAAAACTCTTGGAAATAAAAATAAAGTCATAGGGATGGATCTCTCTTCTGGATGGTTCTGTAGATTATGCAGTTTTACTAAAAAAATTTAAAATACTTTTAAATATTAGTGTCAAAAGGAGCAGGTTATAATTTGGTTAATTAATATTTTTATATAGGTCTCCAAAAACGAAAATAAGCCAATACCCAATTATAATATTTCTGGTATTGCATGGGATATTTATTGTTTTGGGGCCTGTACTATTATTAATTGTTATTAACGATTTTTTATAACTAAATTTTTTCTGGTAATTTTTTTGGATTCGCTGATGGTAGAGCTATAGTTTTTTGTGCCAAGAATTATGATGTTATACTAAAAAATATTAATGACGAAATGATAGTAGTTAAAAATTGTTAGATAGTACTTTCTTGCTTTTAAACATATTTAAAACTAAAATAATTCATTTTAGCCTTTTAAATCAAAATGACTAAAAAGAAAATACAGTATTACATTCTTGTGAAAATACATTTAATTGTAATTGGCTGATTATACCCTTTCCCTATCAAGTAAATATGTGGGAATAATTTTTGATAATAAACATAAATTTAGGTTTCATATTCCTGCTTTGGCAAGAAAGTTAAAAAATTATTGTAGAAATTTAAAATTTTAAGAATTATTCTTCAGCCAGATTTAATGAGACTCGTTTATTTTGTGTAAGCACACGCCTTGATAATATGTAGTAACTAGTTTGGGGAAGTACCATAAAATCTACAATTTCTCTAATAATTATTGCTCAAAATGCTATAACAAACTTGTAAGACTCCTACACAAAATACTAATATAGAAGATACGACACAAAGCAACTTTATATTGGTTTTACAGTATTTAAAGTCAAACTATTTTTTTATGTATTCATGTCTTCGCATTTATTCCCATAAACATTTCCGTATTATAGACTTCAAGTACAAGAACAAAATTTACTCCTTAAAAAAATTATTCTACCTCAAGTAATATAGCATTAAGATTCATTCGTCATAAAAAATTGATATAATTTCTTTTTCTTATGATGAATTTAAATTGAATCTTTTTAATATATATATAATGGAAGAAGAGAAATTTTAATGAAAAACGTATTAATTAAATAAATATTTCAAACGTTACATAAAATGACAATAGTCAAATTGTATATGTACTGCTACCAATAATTTATTTGAATTTGTTTCTATCTGTTTTTGTTTATCTTAGGGAAAGCATAAAACTAATGGTGAGCTCTTGCTATCAAGCACAAATTAAACTTACTGAAAGCAGGTATTAATTATACATTCCATTACATTATTTTGCCGTCCACTATAATTTAATTTTTATTCTCAAAATAATGTATTTAAAGTACAGCAAATAAATTCACTTTTTTATTGGGGTTTGTCATTGTTGTTCACCGTTGTGTTCAGAAGGTTGACTATTTTGATCAGTAATTATCAGCAATAACAATAAATTACTCATTTTTCGTTAGAGAGATGATTCGGATCATTGTTTTCCCATGTCATGTAGTGTCCCTTCCGTACGTTCTAAATTGCGTCGCAAATGGCCCATATAGCAACTTGTCAGTAAGGTTAATTTATTTTTATCTGTGTGATGTTTAGTGACCGTTAGGCAATGATTATCCAGGGATCGTGAGATGAGGTCTGGTGTGACGTAGGTTTTAGAAAAACATTTTCTTTATCGTACCAACGTTTTGACCTTTGTAATGTGATGTAAAAAAATGAATTTATACAATACTAGAAAATTTTAGATTAAAAAAATATGAATTTATACAAAGCTAGAAAATTATAGATTAAAAAAATGAATTTATACAATGCTAGAAAATTTTAGATTAAAAAAATATGATTTTATACAATGCTAGAAAATTTTAGCTTAAAGAAAGAATTTATACAACAAACAAAATGAATTTATACAATGCTAGAAAATTTTAGATTAAAAAATATGATTTTATACAATGGTAGAAAATTTTACATTAAAAAAGAATTTATACAATGATAGAAAATTTTAGATTCAATCAAAGTATTTGTACTCACTCAAAGAGTTTATTTTCCGTGTAGATGTGCCATTCTCGTCTACCGTGTTGAGTGAGATATTGATGTTTTGTGTTTATATACGTTGTATTTTGAAGGGTTGAATTTTATTTTTATCCCTGTAAAAAGATACACAATTTCATCGAAAATAATAATAGAATGTAATATTGCACAAACTAAATGATATGAGAACAAGCCTAGAGAATTCTATATACTTTTTAAATTTTTCTGTGCCCATTTCTGAATGTATAAACTTTTTGAAAAATTTAAAAAGGAGTTTTCTTCTTTTAAAAAAACGTAGTTTAATATACATTATTGAAAACCTAAATTACTTTTAAATTAATTTAATTCGTAAAATTCCCAACGAGTCATCGTTTATTTTCTAAACACAATGTCTAAAAACAGTACTTTTCCCGAAATGAAATTACAGGAGTAAATATTATTTCATAACAGCTTCGAGGCAAATTTCAGGGTTAATTTTCACTCGATTTGCAAGTGAAGTAATTAACTTATAACCGTTAATTTGCCACCAGTGGTTTCATAATTCAATTAGATTTCTAGTGAAACGTAGCGGCCCATAGACGGTCAATATTATTGTACAATATAGACTGCACAATAATTTGACGGTTGCCCCTTAACTTTCAATAATATTGTACAAAATTTTGTTTGCGCAATGAACTTGAATAGTTTGAAGGCGATATTGAAATTTGTGCAATATTTTGATCTTGATACTTCACAAACTGACTGATATTGCGCAATAATGTCAACAGACGGTGCAATATTTTCCAGGTTGTACAATATATTTTCAACTTTTCGTCAATCGTGCAATTTATTGCACAAACTTTCAATATCTACGCACGATAAATTAAATTGCACAACCCAAAATATTGTGCAATAATATTGATCGTCTATGGGCCGCTTAAAATAATAAACAGGTTGACGGTGTCAACAATGTCGCAAAATTGTTCTCAATATTTTACGATTGTTATTTGGAAAATGCCAGTTGTTTTATTTGCGGGTTTTTGATACTTATTTTATAGATCTTGGAATAAATAGGCTTCATATTAAATACATTTTGTAAAAAATTATAATTTGTTTAAACTTTTCTTCGGTTAAAGGAGAATAAATTCAATCATATGAGGATAAATAATTAATAAATAAAATCGTAAAATAGGGGGCTCTTGTGGTCTCTTCCCAGCACATCGCCTTGTTTCTTCAAATGAAATATAAAAAGTATAACCACCAGTGATGACAGTCTTAGGGTTCTCAAACCATTAGTTGAGGAATACAAGCATGCCATTATTTTTATTATTTATTTTTTATCTTGTCTCACTATGGTTTTGAACTTTAGGTTGAAAGAATGTGCGTTTAGCACCATATAAGTAAAGGAATTTCAACCATCATATTAACCCATAATAATTCATGGTTCATCATAATAACTCTATGATCTTTGTGCCAAAGAAGTCGCATTGTCCGGTAATCTTAGACAATAAAAAACAAATGTGCTTGTGTAGGGTGTCGATTTAGGTTTGGAGAAGAGGAAAACCCAACGGTGTATCAGCAATGTTGTACCAGATAGGCCACGATTACGATTTTACGAATTCCCGGCAAATTGGAATTGCCGGTTGAGTGCGTGAAGTGATAGACTCAACTCTGCACATTTGTGTATATATGTACATGTATGAGTAGATTTGAGCTTATATAAATCAGTAATTCAGTTGATCACTTGCTATCATTTAACCAAACCGCCTTTTTCCTTTTCGACCCGTTCTGCGTAGACCAGGACCGACGTCTTTCATAACCTGCCACAGTTTGACAGAGTTATTTCTATTTAAACGAGCACAACGATTTCTCCAATCTCCTTTCACTGTATTTCAAATTAATAGTTTTATCTCCGCACGGCGTACAGGTTGGGTAACGTCATGGGTCGGCTTCTTTGGCCACCCTGTGTCCTTCTTTGTTCCCGTCTATTCGTACATGTCCGGGAACTCATGCCAGCACGATCAACTGAGTCAGTCCCATTTAACTGTTCTTTTCAATCGTTAAATCGATTATATATAAATGCTGATTTGTTTTACATGGTTTACACTTAACAAATTAGATAATAATATAAGCCTTTTTTGCAGGATATATAAAGAAGCGGTGAGGCAGCGGAAAGCCTTATCACGTACTTCCAGCAATATAATTTTAAATAGTATACACCAGCATAGAAGAGGACATCCTCACTACACTCCCAGGCTGCTGCCGCCTGCCGCAGACGGCGATTTGTCGCCAGCGACGCTGTCCTCGGATCCAGACAGCAGGAATTCCTCGGCCGCCAGCAACACGCCACTTCCAGTGAAAAAGTCGCAAATCAACAGCAACGGTGAGTTCATTTTACTCGTTTTCGTCGGGTCGATGGGTTTAATTTTAATTCAGGCCACGTAAGCCCCGGTTTGATGAGTACTATCTCAGATCGGCATTGCCCTCGAGCAATAGTTCACCTGCTATCTGGATGTAGGCTTGATAATATTATCTTCTAAGCTATTTTTGAACAAGATTGCTTGCACGTTTTAAGTTCAGGTCTTACAGATTAGGACATAAATAAAATTTGAAACGAAATGTAAGTGATTAGTGTAGGTTGTCTGTGCTTTCTTTATATTGTTAAAATTAAAAAATATATAAATCAACACCATCTTTTTATTTATATTTTTTCATTTATGACATCCAAATTATTCTATAGAAAAATAATTATATTATTTCTTATCGTAACTGACCGACACAGATCGCCTGAATAGAGCTATATATTCACGCAGATTTAAATTTCACCCTACGCTTTCTTTAAATATGCTCCTCCCTGAAGAGGAATGAAACGTAACCAGAATAGAATGTTCCTACCAAGTGATTAATTCAATTAATTAATCTTTTATGTAAGGTATTGGTTGAGATAAAAACGTCAGTGTCACGAGCGGGATTCGAACCCACGACCTTCGGCTAAATACACATTCGATCCACTCGGACACTAACTTACCATCTTATCCCATCCTTTCGAATTTTCCTCCCTTTTTGCCATCTTGCAAATGTAGTGCAACCACTTTGCAAGTTCCGTCTTTGAAATAAATGATTATTTGGAGATCTATTGTGACGTAAAAAAGGTTTTATAAAAACATTTTCTTTATCATGCCAACGTTTCGATCTTTATTGAAATCAACGGCAGGGCTCAAAGTGTTTGTTTTCCGTGTAGATGTGTTGAGAGTGCCCCCATAAATAACAATTAAAATAAGTCGAAACCATGGTAAGCCATTAAAATTATCTTGAATTAAACTTTCAATCTTAACATGCTAATAATTGAGAGTATTGCATTTTATTTCATGTTCTGTTAATTGATCTTGTGATTTGTAAACAGCTTCGTTTCCATGATGTATATAAACATATACAATAATTATGCTTTTTAAAATGAATCTACCGAAATGGTTTAATTGACTTAAAAAGCTATAAACACAAATATAGAATTCTCCACAAAGAGGCTCTTTCGTGATGATAATCTGTAAAGGTTTATCTTTCAATTTAACGTAATTATCACAATCGTTATTTTATTATTTCAGTTGACCTTAACCTCTAATTGATCTGCCAATTTGATAGTCATTTTTATAAATCGATTAGTTGCTCATCATTTACGTTATTCAATCGAATCGAACTAAGCACAGTTTTTAACCGTTTTAGCCTCCGTACGGATTAAGAAATAATACAATTTTTTTAGCTATCAATCAGTGAGAGGTTTTTCCAGTGTGCTTAATAGTAGCATTTGTAGAAATATTGAAATTTTCAATAGAATCAAAACGACACACAAGAATGACACATCTACATGGAAACACATCTATGAGCCCTGAAGATGATCTCAATAAAGATTGAAACGTAGGCACGATAAAGAAAATGTTTTTCTAAAACCTACGTCACACCAGAACGCACTTCACGATCTCCAAATTATCATTGACTAACGGTCACTAAACACCACAAACTTTGAAATAAGGTGAGTTAAGATAAAAATCAATTTTAATAAGAACCTAAAGAATAGAGTAACAGTAACAATATTTTACATTTAATCAAGGGTTTTAGTTGAGATAAAAAAGTTAATGGCACGAGCGGGATTCGAACCCACGATCTTCTGCTAGATACGCCGCTGCTCTACCACTTGAGCTATCGTGACCTCGATCCACTCGGACACCAACTTCCCATCTCAACCACACCTTTTGAATTTTCCCTCCTTGAGATGGGAAGTTGGTGTCCGAGTGGATCGAGGTCACGATAGCTCAAGTGGTAGAGCAGCGGCGTATCTAGCCGAAGATCCGTGTGTTCGAATCCCGCTCGTGCCATTGACTTTTTTATCTCAACTAAAAACCTTAATTAATTGTAAGATATTACTTGGTCAAGCGGACCATGAAACTAACTAATTTAATAAGTAACAATATTATTATTCTTTTTTTGTTTAGAATGGATTATATAAAGTTGACTAGATTAAAATAAACACTAGGTCGCTAGATCTTCCAATTATCACATGTGAAAAGTTTTTCCAACATCCCCTATACCGTTTCTGCCCGAGATGTTAATATGTTGCAGAAATATATAGCGGCTCGATCTTTTTGACACTTCACAGTTCAAGCGAGCGGAAAAAAGGAAATGGCGTGTTCCGAATGGGAAAATTCCAAGTCCCTGGCTAATCGGATGAACGGTAGAAGTAATTTGAGACGACACATAGGTTGGGTGAAAATGGGGGCGGATGTAAGACGTCGACTTTGCCACCTTCCCTTTTAAATTTTATTTCAATCCGTTTCATCCTAAATGATTCATATTCGCACATTTCACTCTATTTCAACAAAATATGTTATAAATAAAATGTTACCTTTATTTTAATATGTACTGGGACTTTCTCATCGATTCCTCATCTTAATCATTTTCCGGTTAATTAGTCTAAGTTTCTTTCCGTTTTTAACTGTTTTAAACAAAATTATAAATGTTTATTTATTAAATCAGAAAGATCGAGAAAATGATCAGGGTAGTCAAATAAATTGTTAATACTAAGCAGATTAGTATAGTGTTCTTTTTAACTTTTTTTGTATTATTTTTCCAATAAGGACATCGATGCGTAAACATATGGCTAGTTGTTTTTTCCAAAATAGTATCACTTTAATAGCCAACTTCCAAGTACCATTAAATTTGTCTTACAAACATTCTAGTCTACTATAGGTTTTAAAATATTTATGGTTAGAACGATTGGTGTAATAGTGAATAAAAATAATGAAAAATTAATATATTTTGGTATGTGACGTTAACAAGAAATACGAACTATACCATTAAAAGCAGGTACTTTAGTTCAGCACAGTTTGCTATGTTTTTATACAAAGTACAATCCATTTAAGCTCGTTTTGCCGAACAGGTAAAGTTCTAAAGATAGAGCAAGTAGAAAATGTCATACCCCATTATGGCATATGTGTGTTGTTTGGTGACGGTTGGTCAATGATTTTTCGGAGATCGTGAGATGCGGTCTGGTGTGACGTTGGTTTAGAAAAACATTTTCTTTATCGTGTCAACGTTTCGATCATTATTGAGATCATCTTCAGGGCCTGGGATTTATAAACATTATTTAAATTTTACAAATACATGTAGGATGTGGAAAAAGTGAATTTGTACAATTCTAGAAATTTTAGTTTAAAAAATAAATAAATAAAATGAATTTATACAATGCTAGAAAATTTTAGATTAAAAAAACGAATATACACGATGCTGGAAAATTTTATATTTTTTAGATTAAAAAATGAATTTATAAAATGATAGAAAATTTTAGATTAAAAAATTAATTTATACAATGCTAGAAAATTTTACATTCAATAAAAGTATTTGTACTCACTAAAAGTGTTTGTTTTACGTACAGACAAGAATGACTCATCTACACGGATAACAAACACTTTGAGTGAGTACAAATACTTTGATTGATTGTAAAACTTTGTAGCATTGTATAAATTCTTTTTTTTAATCTCAATTTCAAATTTCCTAGCATTGTATAAATTTATTTTTTTGATCTAAAATTTTCGAGCAATGTATAAATTCATTTTATTTTTTTTAATCTAAAATTTTTGGCATTGTTTAACTTCATTTTTTTTACATCCTACATGTATTTGTAAAATTTAAATAATGTTTATACATCCAAGGCCCTGATGATGATCTCACTAAAGATCGAAACGTTGGCACGATAAAGAAATTATTTTTTAAACCTAAGTCACACCAGACGGCATCTCACGGCCACCGAATAATTATGGCATATGTTTAAACATTTCTTCTAAATTTCTGTACAATTAAATAACGGGGAAGTTTAGGGGGCCGACAAACAACTGAGATCTTCACAGGCATTCTGCGCGTTCGTAATTTTTTCCTGGTCTTTCACGTGTATTTTTCAACCTCCAGTTATTTGAGTATCTCAATGAGTTATTGACTCTCTGCTTTTGTACGAAAACTTAGTCTATATCGAAAAATGTTAGCCTCTCCTGTGTATCTTTGTTTGTCAATCGCAGAATAGACTAGACATAAAAAACATACATATACATCACCACTCTATACAACTGGTTATTCAGATATCGTGAGATGCGGTCGGGTGTTCTCTACACACTCTATACAACTTGAGAAGTCTGATCAATTCACTCTCCCAGAGTGGTCGATATTCCTCGGAGTCGGATCGAGCTCACTCATTTTAATTTTACTCCCCAGAAATCACACACTCAAAACAGTCAACTCTGGCAGAATTGAACAACCCTTCCCTTTACGCTAATAAACTGCATTCATTCCAATTAATTAACACAATTCCCTATACAAACAGAAGTCTGGTCACATTCTCTACCCGAGAATACCGATATTCCTCCAGTCGACGTCTAACCCGCTCCATTCTCGCTAATAAATTAATTTTACTCTCCGGACATCACACACTCATTCATAATAAGGTTAAACAACCACTTCCTTTCACGCTAATAATTTAAATTCATTATATTAAGTTAACAGCACAGGCACAAAACAAACACAACACAACCCTGTACCCCTGAGAATATAAAAATATTGCCTATAAACATCAAGCCTTCTACAATTGAAAATCTACTCAAACTTTATTTTATTCTTACAAAACGGGTTTAAATTTCGAAAACAAATTAATTACACTTTTTTTGAAAGTCACCAGTATTGCGTTTTAAAGGTTCTGTTAAAAGGATTTACATTAAATGATACTGATAAAGTTAATTAACTTCCCAACATTTGGGGGTCAAAGTTTTTTAATTATTCAACTGTTAATCTTTTAATAAACAAAGTTGTTTACTGTTAAACTTGATTCGGTCTCAATTCCTCCAG